CGAGAACTGCAGCCTGCCAGCCAGCCCGCCCATCTGCCAGCTAGCAGGCTGCATTTCCGGATGGAGGGTGCAAGGGGCTCTGTCTCGGGAGAGAGCTGGTGAGCGAGGTGCGCTGCCGGCCTTTTCCCCCCAAGTGCCTGAGCTGCTGCTGAGTGATGCCTGAGAGCGGCCCCCAGGTAAATTGAGTTTGAAACCCCTGCTCTAAAGCCATGGATAAAGCTATTTCCAAAGCGAAAAAACAACACCCATCAGCTATTCCATCTCATTCCAATCATCAGAAAACTACTCTGCAGTCGATATCGACGGTCACGCAAGTTCACAAGGCCAAACATTCAGTGTCGAACCTCTCGACATAGAAAACAGTCTCTAAGAGAAAACCGTTCATGGACGTTTCCTCAGCACCTAAACCGTCACCTTTGAAGAAGGCTAAGTCTTTGAAATCAAAGCCTTCCAAAACCGTTTCCCAACACCACAACCACCAGAGACCGGGGACCTCATCTGCGTTGGTTGTCTTTCAGATGAGGAGGCATTTCCACCTCATCAACCTCACCACCACAGTCTCCTGAATGGGAACAGTGTGTTGATCGACTCACAGCTTCCACTGATAGCCCACAACAATCCTCAGGCTCTCCCAGTGAGTCTTCATAAATTGCCTCACCAGACATCCATGGTGCTGAAACACAACCATATACTGTGCCTTACTCTGCCCTAGTAGGCCTACCACCTTGGCGTCTGGCATATTAACAAAGGCACCAAGGCTGTATGAGTGTCCGCTTGCCTCCTTGCTCGGAAACAGATCACGCTGGGCACCATCATTGGGATGCTGTTTGCCCCGATCGGTGCTCAACGGAGAAACCAGCCAAACAGACCAGTTGCTCTTCCTGTTTTGGTAGCGCTGCGCCTGGAGGTTGTCTCTAGGGAGCCTTCGGTGTCGAAGTGTTCTTATTACCATGATCACCCAGGACTACCTGGCACATCTTATCTGCCATCAGCTAAGAGACCCAAGCAAGCCAATCAATACTCAGCTCCGGGCACATTTGCAGCACTGGCAAGTTACTATTTTCCTCTCCTTCAGGAAGACGGCGAGTGCTCATCCCGCTCAGTGTCACCAGCGCCTGTCTATTCCACCATAATACAGTGTGGTCCATCGACGCCTTTAACACTTCAACAGCTGTCTTGACACTGACAGCAACCTCCATTTTGACACACCTCGATACCGACCCTTTCGATACAGACAGTCCTCGATATCGACCATTGTCCACCTTTGACATCAATATTGATCAAAGACCCTTGATATCGGCCCCTGTCCATGGACACACCTTGTCGATACCAATTGAAGACCCTTGATATCAACCACCTGTCCATGGATGCACTTTGAACATCGATACCAATCAGTAACTTTTGATATCGACGATTGTCTACCAACCCCCCCCCCCTTGACATCGACAGCTCAGCGTTGACACCAATATTTTCAGGAACAGCCACTCGCCATCAATATTGATCAACAGTCGATTGACTTGAGGCATGATGCTGACCCATCTGATCATGGTTCCAGGCCTCAAACACCATCAGTTCTTTTAACATCACCAGATTCTGCCCTGGCAGACACAGACCCTCCATCACCAGCAGAGGATTTTCAAACCTATGCTCAACTAATGATTCATATGGCCAAATCCCTCAACCTACGAATCCATAGACCCACTACTAAACCAGCAGATTATCTTTATCATCCCATCTCCAAAGTTACTACCACACCAGTCCATATCTCCATGCTCCTTTCTCTCCTGAGCACAGCTAGACATTCTTGGAGTAGCATCATATCATCTCTGCATCATCATCTCTGTATCATCTCATTCAGTATCAAAACACATAGACAACCTTTATTGAGTACATGACCCAGGCACAGTCTTTTTACAGAAACAACCAGCTCCCAATTCCATATTCATCGAAACTTTACAATCTCACTCTCAACGCAGACAAATACTAATTGTTCTTCTTGTTTATTCATTAAGTCGTGTCCAACTCTTCGTGACCCCATGGACCAGAGCATGCCAGGCCTTCCTGTCTTCCACTGCCTCCCGGAGTTCGGTCAAATTCATGTTGGTCGCTTCGAGGATACTGTCCAGCCATCTCGTCCTCCTTGTGACAAACCCAGACCTAACATTTCCCCAACAAGAGGGTCTTTCCCAGGGAGTCTTCTCTTCTCATGAGATGGCCAAAGTATTGGAGCCTCAGCTTCAGGATCTATCCTTCCAGAGAGCACTCAGGGTTGATTTCCTTCAGAATGGATAGGTTTGTTCTCCTTGCAGTCCAAGTTACCTCGCAGAGAATATCTAAGTGCATTGCGTTTACCATCCAGCTTGCTTATTAGCTTGCTCGAGCGCCACAGAGTATCTGCCCTCATTATACCAGGGCGTTGGCGACATCTACACCATTTCTTTGGGGTGTCCACCTACAGGACGTCTGCGCCTCTGCCACATGGTCACAGCCATCCACATTTATCAATCACTACAGATTGTACCTTTGGCATTAATCTGATGATGCTTTCGGGTGTCCTGTGTTATCATCTTCCTTGGGGTGACACCCTCTTCTGGGTAAGGTAGCTTGTTAGTCACCCATAGTTTGATTCACAGAGGCCATGAAGAAGAACAACAGTTTACCTACCTGGAATTGTAATTCTTCAAGTGAACCTCTATGATTCACACAGCCTGACCCGGCCTCCATACTGTCATGCCCTTTTCTTTATGTGGCGGTTGACCTAACTGAAGAGAGAGCCTTGGCACCAAGGTACATATATCGGGGGAGGGGTCTGTACTAATGTATTTTTTTTGCTACTGCAGAATCTCTAGAATATTCCGATGAGGCTCCACGCATGCGCGGATTACCCATAGTGTGAATCACAGAGGTCCACTTGAAGAACTACAATTACAGTTAGGTAACCTGTCAATCTCCTTGCAATCCAAGGGACTCTCAAGAGTCTCCCCCAGCACCACAATTCAAAAGCATGAATTCTTCAATGGTCAGCCCTCTTTATGGCCCACCTCTCACTTCCATACAGCACTACTGGAAAAACCATAGCGTTGACTATACAGACCTTTGTTGACAAGGTGATGTCTCTGCTTTTTAAGACGCTGTCTAGGTTTGTCATTGCTTTCCTCTGAAGAAGTAGGTGTCTTTTAATTTTGTGGCTGCTGTCACAATCTGCAGTGATCACGGAGCCCAAGAAAGTAAAATCTGTCACTGCCTCCATATCTTCCCCTTCGATTTGCCAGGAGGTGATGGGGTCAGTGACCATGATCTTAGTTTTTTTGATGCTGAGCTTCAGCCTGTTTTTTGCATTCTCCTCGTTCACCCTCATTAAGAGGTTCTTTAATTCCTTCTTACTTTTTGCCTTCAGAGTGGTATCATCTGCATATCGGAGGTTGTTGATATTTCTTCCGGCAATCTTAATTCCGGTTTGTGATTCATGCCCGTCTTCGCTTTCGTATGACGTATTCTGCATATAAGTTAAATAAACAGGGAGACAATAAACAGCCTTATACTCCTTTCCCAATTTTGAACCATTCAGTTGTTCCATATCCAGTTCTAACGGTTGCTTCCCGTCCCACGTATAGATTTCTCAGGAGACAGATAAGGTGGTCAAGCACTCCCATTTCTTTAAGAACTTACCATCGTTTGTTGTGTTCCACACAGTCAAAGGCTTTTGCGTAGTCAATGAAGCAGAAGTAGATGTTTTTCTGGAACTCTCTGGCTTCCTCCATAATCCAGTGCATGTTAGCAATTTGGTCTCTAGTTCCTCTGTGCCTTCGAAATCCAGCTTGTACTTCTGGGAGTTCTCAGTCCACATACTGCTGAAGCCTACTTTGGAGGATTTTGACCATAACCTTGCTAGCGTGTGAAATGAGTGCAATTGTACGGTAGTTGGAGCATTCTTTGGCACTGCCCTTCTTTGGGATTGGGATGTACACTGGCCACTGCTGAGTTTTCCAAACTTCCTGGCATATTGAGTGTATGTAATTGTACAACACAGTAAATATGTGTAAATATGATGTAGATGTCTTCATGTTCCCACCAATTTTATTGATACATCAGACATTAGTAAGGATACAGCAAGACAAGTCCAATGATTCCACAATAGACAAGTCTGTTGATTCCATGGTGGCCTTGGCAACTTTGGTTTGCTTCCTTTCTTCTGAGGGCCATGGACATTTTTCAGTTTCTGGTTCAGAAGATCTATTAACCTGCCAAGACGGGAAGATTCTCCGCCCAGACATGAAAAAGCTGAGGTTGATTGCTTGGACTATACATGACCTATAAGGAATCTGTTTTCACATGCTAGGAAGTCTTCTACAAAGTTGGCTGATAAATATAAATGACAGGGGGACCTGGCTTTAGATCCCCACTCAGCCATGGAAAATCATCTGGGAATGGGATGGAACTGTTAAAACTAATCCTTAAGTATTTCATGCATCTTGAAAGCCCTATTAAAGTGATCTGTATTTCTGAATTGAGCAGGGGGTTGGACTTGGAAGGCTCCTTCCAATTTCACTATTCTATGATTCTATTAGGGTCACTATGCATCAGTTTTGACTTGTTGGTGTATAGCACATCCAGTGATAAGTTGAATAGACAGGTGAGATGAGCAGGAGGACAAAAGAGTCTTTTTGTGGATTTTTGATTATGATTGCTGGGTTTTATGGGATCTGTTTCAGTTGTGTATCCTGTTTGTCTGGTGGGTACGGTTTCTGTTTCTTGACTGCTGCTGAATGGTCTGATTCTGGTGGTTGTGAGGGAGCTTTTGCTGCTTGGGATGACTGGTTGTGCGAGAAATTGAGTTAGGAAAGTTGGAGGCATCTGCTATGTTAGGGGGTTGGCAGAATTGTGAAGGAGCCCACACATCAGTTTACTAAAGTGGCTACCTAAAACACTGTGCTGCTGAACATGGACATAAGAACTAAATGTATTTCTCCTACTACTACTACTACTTTCAATCAATCTAGGGAATCCAAGGACCCAAAGGCCAGAAGGGAGAACCTTTTATGCTGACTCCAGAATTAACCATCCAGTTCAGGGTAAGTCTAGGCAGCTGTTGTGGCCTCAAGATTATGAAGTGAGCTTAATGTTTTTCTAGTGGAGAAATGTAGTTCTTGCAAATGTTCTTGCTAATGTTCCAGTGATTTAGAGACCCTTAGATATGCTCAAAATCTGAGAAGACAATAACTTTCCAACTATATTCTGAACCCTAAGTTTTAGGAAATATACTTTGGGTTCTATCATATTATAATATTATCTGTCATATTATTAGTTGCAGACTGACTGTACATTGGTGCCTCGCATAGCGATCGCTCCATTTAACGAAGAAATCGCTTTGCAATGCTGTTTTTGCAATTGCAAAAGCGATTGCTTTGCGATGTTCCCTATGGGGAAAATTCGCTTTGCGATGATCGCAGGGAAGCGATCATTGCAAAGCCCCCATTTTCGGCCAGCTGATCGGCGGTTCCAAAATGGCCACCGGAAAAACAAAATGGCCACCCACTGTGTTTTCGCATGGATTCCTCGCTTAAGAGGCAGTGAAAATGGCTGCCGTATGGAGGATCGTCGCTTTAAGGTCAGTTTTTAGCCATAGGAACGCATTAAACAGGTTTTAATGTGTTTCTATGGGCTTTTTTATATCACTTAGCGATGAAATCGCTTAGCAGCGATTTTTGCTGCACGGATTAATATCGCTAAGCGAGGCACCACTGTATATTTAAAACCTTGCTATTTGTTTTATTTTTAGTGATCCAATAAAAGGTATTGTCTGTTCTTGCATTTGAAAAATCAATGTCTCATCTTTTTCCATGTAATATGTAAGCTTCATTTATTGCAAGTTAAACTGCCATCCATGGAGGTTATTTTTGTGTATTATGTATAGCAATATATTTTTCTTCAAGGATGAGTATTTTACAGGGACTTTCACCATGCAACCTGTGCTACAGTATACAGAGTGGATAATAAGTACAGACTATTATGTCTTTATAGGGAGTTAATGTTCACGCTGTTGGTTAAAAATTGTTTTCTACTCTGTTGTGTGAATTCTGAATTAGTACTGCGCAGGGAGATAGGGGTCATGTGTTAGTGTTATTTTTTATCAGTGGTGTTACCAGTAGAGATGGGGGTATTCGTATATGAATGCAAATGCCCCCACACAGCTGGAGTTAACAAGGATCCACTCAGGCGTCTGCTAGTGGCAGCAGCCCTGCTCTTCCTTCCTGTCAGAGGGAGGTAGGGCGAGTCTCTGTGCAAGGCTATTGAGTGGCTAGCTGAGCGGCGCTCTGGAGCGATTGGAAGGAAGAGTGAGGCCGGCAGGGCCGGCGGATGCATGGGTGGACAATCCAGCCCCAATTTATTTGATTTTGGGAGTCTAGATGGAGGTACGGAAGGCATGGAAGATGAACTGCCTGATTCTTGGCGAACTTGTTCAGAAGCCTTTGACTCCTAGTGAGCTACCTAAAAACAAACCATCCAACAAGCATAAGATTCCCTCTAAGTTCTTGACTCTCCATTCATTCAAGTAATTCTCCCAACCCTTTAGATACAGCAGTGGATAAGGGGAATGAACCCGGATAGACCACTTACTTCCTAGTCTACTGATAAATCTGTTCTTAATGAGCCCAACACTTCAGATGAATAAGGTTTGAATCAGGGACCCCAAAGGACTCCTGTAGTGCAAAGTGTTTGACAGATTTCCTTCCACTGTTTTTTAAAATTCATGTATACTCTGTGTTTACAGTTTAAGTCTGTAGGTTCTTTTCTATTTCCTGAACATAAAGGACATCAAGAAGGTCCTTTCTCTGTCAGTCTTCACTATGTTCATGGCACAATCTGGACATGAGCAGGGCAGTAAAATCTATCTCTAGTGCCCAGATGGCTTGAGATGCTCAGAGTCTCTTCATCTCCTTTCATCATAGAGCGGGGGAGTTTGAGGCCATTTTAAACCCTAGGCCTCAGAATATCATGTCCCTATCTAATGTCAAGCCCCCATAATTGATTGCAAAATTACAAATCACAACCCCTATAGAAGCATCTGGGGAGTACTATTTTCCCTGTAAATGTAATCTTCGTAATGGCCTATTCTAGGCTTGAAATTGCTTCAAAAACGAACATAGTTAACTGAGCATACATAGGCAGACAGCCATATTGACAAATGTTAACTTCCTATTCTCTTTTAACTTCTGTATTACACTAATGGCTGTAAAGCTTTTTAAACAATGGGAAGACCTAACCAAATGCAATCTTTTTAAACAAAATGTTTGCTTCACTTATTTGCAGATTGTTGTAATTTTAGAATTAGGTGTATTATTTACTATTTCAAATTATCTTCCTTTAGGGAGATCCTGGAGATCCAGGCTTGATGGGCTTCCAGGTAAGCATTATAGTCACAGATAACACTTATCCAATAATAGTAGGTGCCTTTAAAAAGAATTAAGAACAATTTGACCATTTGAAAATATTTTTTCTTGACTTCTAGGGACCTCAAGGTGCTCCTGGTTTGAAGGGTGTATTCGGTCCAGTTGGAGAGACGGGTCTACCTGTATGTATTATGAGATGCAGAGATTCTTGTCACACTGCTTACTTATTTATAAGAAGAAATTCGACTCTTTAGTCACCCTAAATGGAGAATGGTAACATTAATATAGGAACATATATCCAGAAGTGTATGTGTAATCCTAATTAATGCCTTTGTTAGGAAGTACTCGTTTATAGAAATAATAAACAATAAACTGAGCAAATTAAGAACAAGTAAAATTTTATGAGCAGTATCAAAATATTTTTAAATGATGTGTTTTAGATATCCTTAATGTGATATTGGTGAAATAAGTAGTATTTTCTGTATATTTTCATGAACTGAATATTCTTTGAGATAACTCTTCTCTTCCTAAATTTTGTTCACAGGGACCTCCAGGGCCACCGGGGTCACCAGGCTTGCAAGTACGTCTTTTTCTTATTGTTGGATCGATCTTGAATAATTGAAACTAAATCAGAAATGTTGGAAGCGTCCATTGGTGTTATTATCAAAGTTCTGACAGAGTATCATTGGGTAAAAAGCCCATCCCTTGCCACTAGGACACATTTACACAAAAGTAATAAAATGCAGAAAACCAAAGATTCTTATTCGTGGCCTCTGTGAATGCACACAAATGGGTTGGTCTGCACCTGTGCAGGACGTTTCAGAAGTTTCTAGAGCTTAAAAAGGAATTGACAATGAGACATCCCCCTGTGGAGCACATGCTCCGCCCTCCAAACGTCCACTCAGTTCCTTTTTTCCACCGCATTGGTAGGACGTATAGGAACACACTAGAGCAATGAAAGCAATTATTTCTATAGAATTAGCCTATATAGCTTTTTGATTATTGTAGTATTATAGCGTAATCATTATTATTTACTTCCCGTCATGATTAGCTTCTATTTCACCCTAAAACAACAGTTTTTGTCTTCCCATATTTTTCCACCCCCTTCCCTCAAACTGGTTTCCCTTTCTCTCCCATTTTATGGCCCCTCCAGGACCCTTTAAGCCAGTGTTGAGGGAACAGGGGTAAATTACCCCAAAGGTGGTAAAAATGAAAATCCTGGGGGTAATGAGCAGAGCGCTAACCCCCACTCCCACCCCCTGCAGCCAAACCTCAAAATGGAAGCCACCTCTCCCTCCTTCCTTAGTTGCAACACTTGTAAATCCTCAGTTCTTTTAGAGATCGGAGATAAGGCTGCTTGATTGGTTACAGCTATAGAACAGCCCTTGGCAGTCAATCTGGCTTGTGAATGACTGCTTCTGCCGGAGGTTACTGCAAGCAGGAGGAGGGAACACTCCAGTTAAGGAGGGAAGGAAGGTGTGAGAGAGCGACAGGTGGCTTCATCAGCTTGTTTAAATATATGCAGAAAATTGAGGGAGGGAGGGTAGGTGGGTGGATGTGTTTGTTTGTGTGTGTGTGTGAGAGAGAGACTGACTCAAAACTGAAAAAAGGAACAGGCAAGAAGGACAGAACGCTTAAATTAGGGGGGGAAGGGGTGGCTTCATCAAGCAGGTTTAAATGTAATGAGAGGAAATGGACATACTGAACTGAAGCAACTAATTGTTGAAAATTGAGGGAGGAAGGGTTTGTGTGTGTGCGTGCATGAGAGAGAGACACACACAGAGACAGAGACAGAGAGACACAGAGGGACTTGACTCTTTCATAAAACCATGAAAAAAGGAACCTTCCAAAATTTAATCTCCACTGCATTTAGCTCTGCAGCTTCTGCTGAGAACAGCAGAATTCTGAAGTGTGTAGCAATCACGTTTCTGTATTTCTCATCCCCAAAGCAGACAAGAGTATCATAGTTTATTCCAAAAATCTGAATCCCAGTCTTTCTGCTCCTGGTCCTATTTTGACTGCAGCACCAAACAAAAGACTATGGGTTTCTTTATTGAGTCAAGCCATCTCATGTGCAGTCTTCCTCTTCCTACTGCATTGCACTTTTCCCTGCATTTCTGCCTTTTCCAGTGAGCTTGTCTCTGTATGATGCCACTGTAGTACAGTACCCTTTGTTTGGTTATTTTAGCTTCTAGTGAAAGGTCACACTTAATTTGCTTTACGTATCTTTCTGATAAGTCATAATAGGTTTGTCATAGCTTTCCTCCCAAGAAGCAGGTGTCTTTTAATTTCGTGGCTGCTGTCACCATCTGCAGTGATCACGGAGCCCAAGAAAGTAAAATTTGTCACTGCCTCCATATCTTCCCCTTCTGTTTGCCAGGAGGTGATGGGGGTAATGTTGGTGTATATAAATTTTTGGCGGGGTAAAAGGTAAAAAAGTTCCCTGACCCCTTCTTTAAGTGGTGCATTATTTGCCGAAAGAAGAGACCACTTTCTGATGGTCACAGTAAATGTTTATTCTGCTTGGGAGAACAACATCAAACCCAGTCGTGCCCTGAATGTAAAAAATTAACCAAACCAGCAATCAAACTCAGATTACAGTGCCTCAGGTCTTACCTCTGGGTGCGATCCCTTAATCTGTCCATGGAAGTGATAGCCTCTCCAATGGCTAAGGAACCATCCAGAACTGAGACAACCCACTCAATATTGAGCCCGACATTGATTCTGAACAAACAAAAGGAATCACAAAGGTCGTGTAAATTGGGCTCAATTCCTACCTCTAGAGCCCAGATTCGTCTGGATGAATCTACAAAAAAAGAGGATAAAAACAAATCTAAAAAAAAATCTAAATCTACTACTATTGAACATCCACCGGCCATACTTTCCTCACCAATATTAGAGGAATCATCCAGAGAGGCACTTGTCTCGATTTCAGACAGAGACAAACAAACCCGAACATCAGCACAAGCCGCACCATCGATACCTAGCTTAGATAGACCATAGATAGCCTAGCACAGGCCACTCACAGGCTGATGTACAATCCAGCCTGGCCTCGGCCCGTTCAAGCCCTCTAACATCAGGGCAGGCAATGATTATTCAACCACAACATTCTCCACGGAAGCACAGGGAGAAACGTTTGACATATCTCTCCAATGGCTCATGCTTCTCGACATTGAGAACATTATTACTATATGGAACCACACTGATACAGTCCCAGGCCTGATTATATGTACAGGCAACACTACTACGACCCATACTATCCAGAGATTCACCATGAACAAATTTATTATGATGAACTGAGACAGGTTCGATACGCATCTCCGTCATGGTACTCACTATCCAATTCACCGTCTCCAACACAACATCAGCATCAAACAGTGATGGCCTATCATCCAACCAGGCCATCACTTAAAAGAACTACAGTACCAGAAACTTTGGCGCCATCAAAGAAATTGAAATCAAAGAGACATACCTCTATGCATGTCTCCACTACATATACTGGGCCTTCCCCACATACTGATGAAACACATTCGATACCTAGCCATACAATTCAGGACCCGTTGCCATCATATGTCAGCAGGTCACACCGTTCTCCATCAGCCTCGTTGACATCATCCCAAGATTCAATATTAACAACACCCAGAGAATTGCCATCGAACCTCCCCACCCTACCATCTGATATTGGAGAAAATCACCCTCCATCACCTTCGGAGGATTTCACCTTGTATTTTATTTATTTATTTATTTATTTGATTTATACCCCGCCTATCTGGACCGATGGACCACTTTACTCACAATTGATCCTCAGGATGGCGAAATCACTACAACTAGATATACAAGAACCACCTACACAGAAAAAGGATTTGGACTTTGATGACCTAAACCAAGGTAAGACCCCACCTTTAAGCTTGAGTTTCATACCAGCCATGTATGAACTCATCAAGGAATCTTGGGACAGCTTCATCCCTACAAATCCCATGTTGTGTCGATAATCATTACAAGACACATGGATCAGACACAGCATTTTTACTTAAACATCCGATACCAAATTCTATAATTGTGGAATCAACGCAATCAAGAGCCCAAAACAAATCTTCGGTGGCAGCAACAAATAGAGAGTGGTGTAAATTGGACATCTTGGGCAGAAGACTCTATTCACTGACATCATTCCTAATGCGGGTAGTGAACTATCAGGCAGCCATGGGCGCCTATCAGAGATAACTGTGGAATAAAATCTTACCCACCCTACAAACAACACCAGAAGACACCAGGCCAGAGCTTCTGAATACATACATTGAGGTGTCTGCACTCGCAAAACAACAAAGAATAGCAGCGAGACACACAGCAGATGTTGAATCCAAAGCAAAGTCTATGATTGCTCTGAGACGACATACATGGCTTCGTTCCTCCAATATCCTAGATGACACTAAAACCCGTATAGAGGATTTACCATTTCATGCAACTGGTCTCTTTAACTCTAAAACAGATGAAATAATTGAAAATATACACAAAATCAGAAAAACAGCTCATACACACCTCAACAGCCCTATCGCTACCAAATAACACAATATCGTAAACAACCGTACTACCAACAGCAATACTTACCTTATCAGCAATCATACAAAACCTTCTGTCAACAACCTCAGGAAAGACCTTATCCAGCAGCATCGACACCAGCACCTCAGTCCTTTCGTCCTCAGCAGTCTCAGATTCGACGACAACCCTTTCGAAAGCAACAGCAGTTGGTAAGTGATACCAATAACTCTTCATCACCTACATCTCGAATTCAACTTTTCCTTTTCTTTTCGACATGGAAAAGAATTACTAAGGACAATTGGGTTCTATCCATAATTCAAAATGGCTATTTTATTGAATTTTTTGTACCCTACCTTCAGGCATCATTTGGAACACCCCTTACTCATTGGCTTTATGTGAAGAAATTTTCTCACTACTACAAAAACACGCCATACTCACAGTTCCTTCATCTTCAACTAATGAAGGATTCTACTCCCAATATTTTACAGTGCCCAAAAAAGATGGAGGACTCCATCCCCTCCTCGATCTTAGGAAACTTAATAAATTTATTCAACCTCAAAAATTCAGAATGTTAACTCTTGACACCATTATTCCCCTCTTTTCACAGAGAGACTGTTTTGTGGCCATAGACCTACAGGATGCCTACTTTCATATCTCTAGTCACCCTCTCTTCGGTTCAGATTCGACAAAATATCATACCAATTTTGTTCCCTCCCTTTCAGACTTACCATGACACCGAGAACATTCACCAAGTGCATGGCACCAATCGCAGCCCACGTTCAACTCCAGGGTGTCACTATTTTCCCTTATATCGACAACTGGCTCATAGTTGCTACATCATACCACAACGCACTGAAAGCCACAAAATTAACTCTCAACACCCTGTACGACCTGGGCCTCAAGGTGAGCACTGCCAAATCTCACCCCAAACCCGCACAGACAGCCACCTACATCAGCACCTACGTACTTCGATTCCATGCAAGCTTGCCTCAAGAAAGAACCGCCAAATTAAGAAAAGCCATCAAACCATTCCGTGCCCTAACA